GAGGTGCCAGGAAGATGCTCTGTCCTGTCTGACGTGGACTTGCCGGTGGATTTGGGCTGGGGCTCTTGGAGGGGAGTGCCATGCAGGCAGCTGGCCGCGGAGGGGGAGGCAGAGGCTGGCATGTTCGCAGGCACATATTTATAAGCATCCCTTTACCCTGGGCTGGGCATTCCCCATCCCACCATCCTGCTGCTACTTCAGCCACCCCTTGCTCAAGCGTGCTGTGCAGCACGTTGTCCACAGAGGTGAAGCCGTGCAGCCCGTGGTCCCCACAGGAGGGGTTGGCGAGCACTGAGAGAGAGAGAGGCTGTGGGAAGGCAGCCTGCGGGCAGGGCTGGGAAGCAGCTGGCCCTGGTGGAGCTGGGTGCCCCGATGCGACCCGGGAGCAGCCGTAGGGGCGAAGGTGCGTGGAGCGAAGCAGAAGGGTGCGGAGGTGTGGGAGAAGCGAACAGGGAGGATGGTGCTGCGTCTGTAGGTCACAGCGCTGTTGGGGAGTGAAGGGTGGGCAGCGAGGGGTGAATTGCATGTGCGGTGTCACCTGGCAGGGACAGCCGGGGGTCACTGCGAGAACCTGTTTGGTAGTGGAGGAGGCTGCTGTTCTGGAAAGTGGGGGGTTACATCTAGATATCCAGATATGTCTCGAGAGCTAGCTGTTGTCGAGTGGCAGAAGGAACCTGTTGCCATTACATTTGGTGCTGAATTTCATAGGAGAAGAAAAAGCCCTCCAGTCCTGTGCTTTGCTGTTACTTGGCTAAAAGCACTGCTTTGGGCATTAGGCTTCAGTGGGGGCTGGGTGGATGACGTCCCAAGCCAAGCCCGTCCCTCGAAACCAGCCTACCCATCATTTGGAGCAGGCAGGACACGTCTAGAGCCCCAGAGCAGCTGTCCTGGTAGTTGGCGATACCCCACGGGGCTGGTTACGAGGAGGCACTGTGGGAGGGAGGGACACAGCCAGTGCAGCAGCTCCCAGTTTCTTGCTGCTGTTGGGGCAGAGCAGCCTTGCCAGCACCGGCTGCACCACAACAGCACTCGGGGCTGAAAGCTTTGGCCAAGGCAGGGTTGTGCTCGTCCCGACTCACTGTGCAGCATCTGCTTCCTTTAAGCAAGCAAAGCAGGGTAGCCCAAGCTGGGCTAAGCACGTTCCAGCTGCTCAGGCCAGGCTCCATCCCCTCCTGGCCTCTACAGAAAGGTGGGGAGGTGGAGTTGTCCTACATTCACCCTTCTTTGGGCAGCTATAGGTGGCAGAACCCGTATCCTTCCTGGGTGCAGAGCTGTTTCCCTAATGCGACTCCCTGCAGCGACGTCTGTTCCCCTTCCCATCCCTCCCTTTCCTCCACAGAGAAACCGTCTGCCGTAGCTAACAGCACCCAGGACCTGACCTGGTTTCTCCATTCAGGCAGGGACCCAAGTTCCCAGACATCGTTCCAACTGGAAGGCAATGTGACCCACGCGCGGGAGCGATTCCCAGTGTCAGTTTTGCCATAACACGTCCTATCTGTCTGATTTTTCTCCTAATATTTTTTTAAAATGTTTCTTTTTTTTCTATCTATAAATACTTGTACAGTTGGAATATTAATATATAACTCTGGCAGTAGAGCTCAGTGCCAGGTGATGTTCACGTAAAAGATGTGTATTTTGTATTTAAGGGACTTTTGTTTTGTATCGCATAAACTGCAACAGATTGTTTGACTTGGATCGGGGCTGCTCTTCCCATCCGTGTAATTAATAAAGTACTAACAATATCTACTGGCTGGTGAGGAAACCTTCGTGCTTAGCAGTTCTCCAACCCAGCAGCATCCCAGAGCTGATCGTGCCCTTTCTTGTGGAGCTGTGAAGCTGGAGGTAGTGCCTGGCAGGCTGGGGAGCCACGGGCATCCTTGTGCTGCCGGGGAAGGTCAAGCGCTGCTGGCCTGCAGTGTTGCCAGGGTGAAGCTCTTGCGGGACTCGTACAGCTCCAGCTGCTTGGTCTGCAAACAGCCCTTCACCTTCTCCTGGAAGGAGGCGGTGGTGATGGTGTAGAGGATGGGATTCAGGGCGCTGTTGATGGGCAGGATGAAGATGACCACCCAAGAGGTGATGGTGCCTGTGCCAACAAGGACACGACGTTAGGCAGCCGGGGTGGGGGGTGGGGTTGTCCCCTGTCAAGGGGTCACCCACCAACTCCAGCCCACGCAGCAAAGTGGGGCCATGCCAATCATGGGTTCATGGCTGGAAGGGTATCCCCCCATGGGGGGTGATGACTGCTGCTCCCTGGAGAGAGACAGTGGCCCAGGGAAACCAGTAATGCTGTCCATCTCCCCTTGCAGCCCTCATGTGGGTGAAGAGAGCTCCAAACTCGGCAGCACCCACATCAAGGGGTCCCCTCCACCCAGGGGATCACGGCAGGCAGCAGCCAGCAGTGGGCTCTGCTTTAGGGCCTTGTGGGGAATGGAGGTTCACCTGGTATTTCCACCTGCAGCAGGGAGAGCAGCTTGAGGAGAAAGATGGGTATCCAGCAGAGAGCATCGGTGAAGACGATAAAGAAGAACCGCTTTGCGATGGCAACTTCCCGGGAGCAGACACCTCTCTCCGCTGTTCTGGACGCAGTGATGTGGATGGAGTAGAACATGCCAGAGTAGGCAAAGACAATGGTGATGAAGGCTGCGAGATTCAAGCCTAGAGAGGAAGAAATCTCGCTTTGAGCATAGCCACAGTGCAAACCTCTCAAGCTGGGATCGGTGGCACAGCCGGCAGCAGCAGGACTACTCCTGCTTTTATCACTAGAGGGGGCAGAGACACTCAGCAGCCCCGGCTGGTTCTGAATCCAGCCTTAGCCCAGCACTGCCCATGCCCAGCTCCGGGGTGACACCGGGCACAGCACCAGGCTGGAGCAGGGACCCTCCCCAGCCCGGGGTGTAGGGCAGAGCTGGCACCCCCGTCTTACACAATCCCAGCAGGATGGCAGCGCCCCGTAAAGTCAGACATCCCACTAACGGAGGCAGCGTGGGCTCCCACAGCACCCTGGAGGGGATGGCTGGGCTGAGCACCCTCAGTCCCACCAGGGAAGCTTGTCCTGCCCCACATCATCCCCACCCCGGGGTCCCAAGTCCCGAGGTGGCCTTACCCAGGTAGATGGTGGTGGAGTAGCCCCGTGCACTGGGCCGCTCGTCCAGATCAGGCTGCAGTGGGAAACACACCCCGTTCCTCCCGTAGTAGTTCCCAAAGGTCTCCTTACACCACACGGGGACAATGCTGAGGGAGAAGCCCAGAAGCCAGATGGCCACTAGCACTGAGATGGTCTGCTTCTTGCCGGCTCTGTGGTGGCTGAACGGGAAAACAATAGAGAAGTATTTCTCCAGGGTCATGTAGGTCAGCAGCAGGACTGACACCTCGGAGGAGAGCATGGCCAGGCTGCCCACCAGCTGGCACTGGAGGCTGCCCATCCAGCCCTGGGCGTGCTTGTTGTATTCGCCTGAGTACTTGAGGTCGAAGGCTCCGATGACAAAGAGGTAGATGCCCATCAAGCCATCTGCACCTGGAGGGGGGGAAACAAGGTACCCTGAGAAAACCACCAGTGGGCTCTGCATTAACACCATGGCCATAAACCCATCAAAGAATGGGCAGCCATTGGCTTTATGCATATATATATATGCGTGCATAAAAGAGCTGCCTGCTGGTGTCTGCGAGCACAGACGCGAGGGCATGGGCTAAGATGCCTCAGGCACAGAGGGATGCCCAGAAACCCATCTGCCAACAGCATGAAGGGAAAGATGGCAGCAAACAGGCCCTGGCTGCGCCGGGGAGGGCTGGCATCAGCTAGACAGGTCCTCCCTGGGGAGATGGTGGTGGGCAGCAGCTCATCTGCCCCCGTTCCCTCTGCACTCCCCGCACTGGTCCCTGCCCCTCCTCTGCCCAGCTCACAGCACAGGGACTTGATGGCCATGGTGTGCTGGCTGTTCTCCGTCACGATGAAGGACCGCATGCAGATGACGAAGAGGTTGCCGAAGCAGGTGAGGCAGGCGACGACCCAGACAAAGACACGCAGGATGATGTTGGCGAGGAGGTTCTCGAAGGAGGAGATGCCATCGGTGTTGGGTTTGCAGCTGCGCACATGGGGTGCGTAGCTGCAGTACTGGAACTTCTTGAAGTAGCTGTCAGGGAAGGGGGAAGGTTTCCTAGCTGTGACCGGGACCAGGAGCAAACATTGTCTGGCGTGCACAGTCCCCTGCCCCGCACCCCGCACTCTGCCTGCCTGCACTGGCTCCCTCCAACCCCTCGGCCACCGTTTTCCCTGTCTGGGGGGAGAAGAGCTGCCCCCCACACCCCGCTCCCCGCACTAGCCAAGAGCCCGAGGGCTTACACAGAGCGGGGGGAGGGAGATGGGGAGGTTAGGGGGAGGAAGGAGGCAGTGAAGGAGGCAGTGGCAGAGCAGGGTGGGAGCGGGGACCGGGCGATGCCAGCACACAGCCCCCCCCAGTGCCAGCACCCGGGGCAGGGATGTGGGGGACACACAGAGCGTGATGGAGCTGAGCAAAGCGGGGTTCCCGTTTGCACAGTACTGCAGCTGGTTTTGGACACTAAACAAGCAACACCCTGAAGGCTTCGCAATACCAGCTGGAGGCACCCCGGTGCTTTTTGGATTGCATACCACAGCCGTGCTCTTAAATCTGCCCCTATTCAGCACTGTCAGCCGATAAGTACAAGAGTGTTTTCCTCCAACCCATGATTCTCACAAACTAACATTTAAAAATCAATCCCTTATTCAAATCCTCCAAGTTCCATTAACAGGGATTCACATTTTTTCCCCTGCATGTTATTTCAGATTAATCTTTTCAAGCCTTATAAAAGCCAACCCGTATAAGCTTAGCAAAACTCTGCATTAGAAAATGACTACAAAACTGAAATGCGAGGCTCATTTCTGCTTAATTATAGATAAAAGGAGAGAAAATGATTGCTTATTAGCAAGTCAGGTAGAAAATGTACC